GATAACCCTAAACCCTGCGACATACATGGACTATATGTATTGAAAGTTGATTACACCGTACGACCGACGGCGGTTTGGGTCCTGCCAACTAGACCCCTCCTCATCCAGTCACCCAACATCCGTAGAGACAGATCAGCCACCACCACCATCTCAGCATGCGAAACTTAGTCCATCAACTAGACCTCATCTCCACACCTCAGCAGCGTTAGTAAACCTATACCTCCCGAACAATGTCGGGGGTCTGACCAGGAATCGTACCCGGAACCTTCATGTACACGAAGGCGCCACCAGACCAGACCAGACCAGACCTGCTAGAGGGGCACCCTAAGCCATTCACCCCATCCGACTTCAGAGTGTACTCTTTGAGTTTGGCAACTCACCACCAGCATCCAACCAAATCTAGCGGATCAACGGCGCGTCAACTTAGTTCCTGGTCAGCTCGCGAGTTGATTTTATCACGTCCTACACCGTCCATAAGATGGGGGGCCACCTCCCATTTCATCACCTCTCAAACACCCCGAGAGGTCGGCAGGCGGATTTGAACCCGGACGCGCCAGGACGCGACGGGAGCAGAAGCCAGGCCTTAACCTCTGCCAGCCGCCTGCCATCTTGTTGTCTTCACGCTGCGTCCACTTCAGAGCGCCCGTACCTCCACTGCTGTAGCAGACGGGATACAAGTCCCCATCCCGCTTTCCAGTCAGCACCAACTGGTTCTGTACGTACCGCGGCGCGCCGCGAAGTGGACCGTAGCTTCGACTCCCAGGCCAGGTGTGGGTGTGTGGTGCGTAAGGTGCTGTGTGGTGCGTAGGTGAGAACGGTAATAATGTGGGGAAGCAGTGGCGAGGACTCAGTTACATTACATCTGTGATGGAGGGTGGCTTAGTAGCAAGCCACAGCCAGCAGTGCCGTAGCAGAAGGTCATTCTCAAGGTTCACGTCTGGCATCCAACAGCAACGACCCATAACAACAATCGATGAGGGGCCCTGATAGCAGCACGGCACAAGGAATGTCCGCGGATTGTGAGCGGTGAAGTGAATAATGCCGCCTAGGCTCGCATCACACTAATTGCATGAAATCGCCACGGTGGCAGCATCGTCAGCAGCGGAGTAACAGCAGTCTGCGCGGACGATCCTGCATTTGATGGTCGTCATGAGCAGAACCCAGCTATTGCCACACCCTGGACGCATGCTTGTGTTCTCGTGTTCTAGTGCCGTTGCATTCTCACGTCTGGGCGGGTGCCTGTCCTCACCGCCTCACTGTAGTGCATACATGGGGCCGTGTCGCATCCCCATGATGCATGAGTACAGTCCCAGTCTGTCACGGCCCCAGTTGTCGCATCCTCACACCTCACATCTTTGTTGCATCCTCACACTTCACATCCCCACCATACATCCTTGTCACATACATGTCTCACCGTCACACCTCACATCTCACATCCTTGCGTTCGGCAAATATTTGCAGTACTACACGTACGGTTTCATGCGGTCATTCATTCACGTGCACACACGTTGTGTGTACTCGCGGTCGCATGCCCTGGTGCTTCACATTCACGGGTGTATGGTGCTTTGTGTACGGCATGTGCGGCTGAAACCGCATATTAGGAATGTGTAGTATAGCAGCACCGGAGCGTTGCATTGCAAAAGTCAGCCATCATGCAGGGCACTGCGAAGAGATGCAGTTCCTCACCGCGGGCCGCCATGTAACAGATGCAGATGTGGAACACGGTGCCACAGAAGCAGTCGGGGTTGCTCTGCCGCTTGTCGCCAGGTTTGAAACCAAAAAGGATGTCCATGAAGGCGAGCTTAACCGTGTTGAGGAGTGCTTGGCTGGTGTAGGGGTTGTTTCGCACCCGCCACCACTGT